TGTGACAATAACAGTGATTCAGCACAGAGCAGCGTGTTGGTGTGTGGGGCTGTGACCTCATGTTGTTAAACTGTGATTATGACACAACGAGTTTCAGGACATTTTATGGAGAAATGCAGAAGTAATGAAGTAAAATGAAGTAAAATACTGAACTTTGAAGTACTCTGAGTAATTAATGACATTTCTTTGAGTAATGAGCAACACTGAGGGAAATCCCTCCAACATGCACAAACATGTGACCCAAAGCAGGAGCCAATGAGGAATCAATCAGCGATATTGATGATGGAATCAGAAACGCTAAATTCCTATCACTTCCTGTCCCTACAGGCACATGATTCGAGATGTTGACCGACCTTCCCACCTGACCCAAACCTGCCATCCTTCATCATCATCAGTCTGAGCTCACCTGTGCACATCCAAGCTGCAAACTATTTTTTAAATTTGACAGATATTGCAGATCCTGGATGAAGACATCCTGGATACAGTGTACAAAGTATGTGGTGGCGGTGGTCTGCTGGCCCCTCGCCTGCCAGCCACAGCAGTGACAGGGAGCGCCGCGGGTCTGAGCGTGTTTTTATATCTGGGTTTGTTTAACTCGGTGAACTCCGAGCCCAGAATCGTGTGTGGACGACACATCTGCACATCTGTGTGAGTCAGCTGGGTGTGAGCAGAGGAAGTGGAACAGCTTTCACATTAACTTCCTGTTTGGGTTTGGACAGCACATCGTTATCATGACCTTTATGACAGGAAACGTGTAATCCTGCTCTAACTGGATCAGTGTGATGTCACAGGTTTCTCGAGTATCTCTCCAGTTTAAACATGGGAAACAGAATCATGTCCCAGTCCTCCCAGTGTGCCCAGTGTCCCTTACCGGCTGACTGTCAGTGCTGCTGGCTTCTTCGCCGACCGCAGGTGCTTTACTCTCGTGCCACTCCTCCTCCTGCTTCTCCTCTTCCGCTCCTCTACTATCTGCAGGAAGTGAGACGCTCGTCTCAGCGCTGAACGCCGCCCATGAAGCCCCCTCTTCCTCCTCCTGCTGCTGCTCCCCGAAGGCGCTCCACCCGGCGTCGCTCTCGCCGCCACCGGCCGAGCTGAAATTCCCAAAACTGTTGCTCACAGGGAAGTCGGCAAACTTTCCTCCCTCCTCCCCCTCGTTTTCACCCGAGTTAAATTTGGGGGAGTTGAAGTCGCCAAAGTCGTCTTCTTCTTCTGCGTTGTCCGTGGCGCTCGCAGCTTCCTGCGCCAGAGCAGAACTCTGTAATCCGACTGGATCGTGCTCAACCTCCAACTGATCGAAGTCTGCGAAGCCTTGAGCGCTGAAAGAGCCGGCGTCTCCGAAGTCCCCGAAGTCTTCGTCGCCGTCTTCACCCATCTGGCTGTCGTCAGCGGGTGTGGCGGATTCCCCCTGGAGCGGGGGCGAGGGCACCGAGCCCGTGGTGCTCACGTCGCCATACTCCTCCAGAGCGTCGGTGGACAGCGGACGGCCAAACGACGTCTCCGTCTCAGTCTCCGTTTCGGTCTCCGTCTCGTTCCCGGAGCTCTTCTCATCCGATTGCCTCGCCTCGCTGTCTGCGGCGGCGTCGGGCAGGAGCTGCTTTTCACCGCAGCCGTCGACAGAACCGTTGCTGTCAGCTACGTCCGCCCTGTTCACGACGAACAGTTTGTCAGTGCAAACGGCCTCTGAGGCGCCGCAATCTGCCGCCAAGGCCACATCCCTTTGTCGAGAGTCAGCATCCACGTGAGCGCGCCGGTCCGGCGTCTCAGCGGGGACGCAGAGGGACTCTGAGCCGAACGCGTCGTTTTCAGTTCTGTTTGTGTCCCTGACATCATCCTCTGAAGTCAGTCCCTGCTCTACGTTATGGCTGACGCCCGGTGGACAGTGCGAGCTCGCCGTCTGGTCGAGGCGTCCGTCAGCATCGGAAAAAGCAGCAAAGTCTGCAAAGTTGTCCTCCGGGCCTCCGGCGCCGCCCGTGTCCTCGGGGGACGCTCCTTTTATGCGATCGTGGACAGAATTCTGGGAGGAAGGACTTCCCTGAACATCAAACCCGTTTGTGAGCACCTCGCTGCCGTTACAATCCGCGGTGTCGCTCGCGGTCAAGTCCACACAGCTGGCGAGGACCTTTTTCATCTCAGTTCTTTCTGAGGCACTCGCCAGCACGACACCGTTCGCCTTTGAGAGCTCACCGCTGCGGCTGCGGGCGCCGTTCGTGGAGCCGTGGCTGAAGCCCACCACCCCTCTGCTGTTGATCAGCTCCGGCGGCGAAGTGGCGGTCAGAGCCTGCGTCTGGTTAAAAGTGGTCGGAGTGTCAAACTCTGAGAAGCTGATGCTGTTCGGGATGCCAGAGAAGGTGCCAAAATCTCCGAACTCATCGTCCTCTTCCTCAGCGCCGTCCTCCATGGGTGGCGGAGAGGAGGAGTACATGCGGATCACGTCTGGCTCCATGACTCTGCGGTGATCGAAGAATCCTCCGGGCTATACCTGAAAGAGCGAGAGAACGTCGTGAGCAGCCAATCACAGGACAAACATTCAAAAATAAGTAAAGAACAGGAGCGCGCTTCATCCACGCGGCGAGGAGCCGAGCACGCCTCTCAGCAGCGCCGATGATCTCCAACGAGAGGCTCGGGTCACAGCTCATCGAGTAATACGAGCCCCGAGAGCGCAGACGGCGTCAAAGCGACGGCGAAGAACGCGAAGAGCCCCGAGGACAAACACAGCGTCACAAACACATCGTCGACAGAAATGAGGAAATGAAACCCCGCCCTCCTGCTCTGATGTCACTGCTGCGGGATCACATCATCACTGCAGCGTGAACATGAAAGCGTGTTTGAATGAGCGTGACAGGCGTGGACACAAACGCCTCTCGTAACACGGAACTCACCTGAGCATCAACCTGATGTTCAGCCTGAACACGATTCTGACTCATCACTAATAATCTTTTTTATTTATGTAACAAAAATGATGATGTCAGAACTATATGACTTTATTCTGCTGACATCACAGTTCTGATCACACAGCTTTCACAATAAGATAATAACATTTTTGTCACTAAATAAAAACAAATATCATTTTTAAAGTAACCCGTCTCCTGTCTTCTGATTTCAGCTGTGCGCTCTCTCTCTCGCCCTGTGACCTCTGACACCTGGCGGGGTGTCAGAGGTAATACATTAACTGTATTTGTGTGCTTGAATCACGTTTCCAAACGCTGATCTGAAGCCAGCACAGACCTCAGCTCTTTAAAATTTCACTAAGTTTGGACTGAAACAACCAGCCAGGTAAGGAAACACCTGAGTTTCTGATGAAGGTACCTTCCTGCAGCTCTGCAGGGAAGTCCCTCTCGGGTTACCTGCTGGCCTGGCCGGCCTGTGTTTGTGCTGTGCCCGGCGGTGGGCGGAGCCTACCTGTGTTTGGTAGAGCTGAGCTGGACTTCAGGTATGCAGTCCTGATAGACCAGTCAGCCGAGCGCGAGCCGTTTAACCCCTCAGACCCCGCAAACGGTGACGTGTTAACGTCAGGGCAGGTAAACATGTTTAAGATGGGTTTACCTGCGCACTCAGCGGGTCACCTTCAACAGGCGCTCAGCCTCCTGACAGTCGTCCCAGTCCCAAACTCCACCTGACACTGTGAGCCCCCCCAGCAGTCTCACCTGTCTGACGTCAGTGCTTAAATTGCAGCTAACAAGCTAACGTAGCAGGCTCAGCAAACTCCCAGGTAGCTTAGCAGGCTAAACGACGGAGGGCTGAGAGTTTGTCCCGAGCAGAACCGACTTGTCTGAGCCCAGCCCGAGCCCGACAGGGAAGCTAGCAGGACAGCTCGGCGGCTAATAGCAGCCCGAGCTCGGCGGGACTAGCCCGGTCAGCCTGTGTGGAAAGCTGAAGCCAGCTCGATTACTATGCTGGTACTTTACCGAGCGGCTCTGCTGGCACACAGCGGCGGTACACAGATAAACACAGGCCGGGGACCCTTCAGGAACGAGTCGGTTTGACGTTAGCTGCCCCTGCTAACTGCGCAGCTAGCTTCACCAACGACAACAAGCCAAGAAGCAGCTGAGCTAGCATTAGCTTAGCTTAGCTCGGCGTTTCGTGTGACAACAACTGTCTCATCCCGAAGGAAAGAGCCGGGCTCACCGTCAGAGGCCGCCCGCTGGCGTCCATGGTTCGGTTCCACACGGGCTGTCGTCGGAGCGGGACGGCTGACTGTGAAGCCCGTGCTGAAGGTGGAGTCCGCCGGCTGCTGCTGCTGCCCTGCCTCACGATCACCCAGCATGCACCGCTGCGGTCTGCTGCTCCACAAACTTCCAGGTGGAACAGGTGGATGGATGTAACTGAGTACTCCTACTCATGTACACCAGTTGGCCGCTTGTACTCGAGTATTCCTGAACCACGCCTCTCTCCCAGCACTTTTTAAAATCAAAACTTTATTTCTTTAAGTGGAAACCGCTGTTACAAACTCCGCTGAGCAGACCTAAACATGAACAATAATCGGATTGGGCACAAGTCCAAGCTGCCTCAGAGCAAGAGGAGGTACACCTGGACAGGTGCACCTCTGTGTCAGAGCTGACGGAGACAGACAGACAGACGGCCAGTTCACCTGTGAACCCCACTGACTGTTTGGACTGTGGGCGAGAACCCACACAGGAAGCACCTGCAGAACAACAATATGTTGTGTGAATGCACCTTTCTAAAGTCCCTCCTCAGTGATTTAAAGCACACGTGTGTCTAATTATTCGAGCCGGTGTGGGCCCCGGGGTCTGGCATGAAATAAACCCGACACTTGGATAAAAGGAGGCTGAAGTGTTCGTATACTCACCCCAGCTCCACACTGGTGTCTCCCACACTGCTCTTAACCTGCTTCTGCTCATAACAGCGATGGTTCAGACAGAACAGATTCGTCTGGATTTCAAATCTTCTCTGTTTTCAGTGATATAACTTTAGTAACAAGCACCTCAGTCTTCTCTCTCTCTCTCTTTTGCCATATTTTCCAGGTAACCTATATTTGACAACAGCTTGATAAAAATAAATTCTGTTTTT